TATTGGATAAGTGAATTTCTAAAAAAGATTTAAAGAAAGACAAGTAATCTATAATTCAAGAAAAATATAGAGGTGTCCTAGAATTTAGCGCCTCAGTCTGATACAATTATGAAAAAAACTGGAGAAAGTTGACTTTCTGATCCGAGAGATCTTAGAGAGATGAACAATTGTAATATCATAACAACATTCCCTGTCATAATGTTTGCCTTATAGATATTATTGAGTTTTTTAACTGTTAAGTTATATTCCATTGGCTCAGGTCACCTGTGTTTATCTAATCTCATCATTTTCTGTTGGTTACACCGATCTAACTCAATTTTGGAGGTACCTCATTGTTTCTTTCATCTACAGATCTAGCTAGTTTAAAGATGAAAACTGCAGCAGATGAGACAGAAAAATACAGCTGGAAAACTTGGATGAGTTAGAAACACTAAACACTTTTCAGGAAAGCTGAGTGTCAGAGAAAAACAGATGCTGGAGGAAAAGAAAAAAAACAGGTCACAAAAACTGACCTGGCCAAAGGGGCCATGACCACACATTATCCTCAGATGAGGGCTTCTAATTCTTTCTTCTGCTTGATCAATTCTACTGAGACCCACTAATGCATTTTCCAGCTCCAGGATTTGTTTGATTTTTTTCTATTACTTCAGTATCATTGTTAAATTTCTGACATATTTCTGAATTGTTTCTCTGTGTTTTCTTGAAGTTCATTGAGCTTTCTCAAAATAGCTATTCTGAATTCCCTGAGAGGTTACACATCTCCATCTCTCCAGGGTTGGTCACTGGGTGCCTTACTTGGTCCATTTGTTGAGGTCATATTGACTTCAATGTTATTGATACTGTCGATGTTTGTCAATATCCGGGCATTGAAGGATAAGGTATTTATTCCAGCCTTTGAAGTCAGGTCTTGTTTGTACCTGCCCTTCAGAGGACCTTCCAGGAATTCAAAGTAGGCTGATGAGTTCCCTAAGCCAGTGATCACTGCAGCCATGTTTGTACTACAGGGCACCCCAGGCCCAGGTACACTGCAATTCTTACAGATTCCTAGGTCCCCAGCCCTATGGACTTGGGGGAGATCGGGGATTGTTCTCTGCATTCCCAGGTAAAGCCCGTAGCTTACTTCCCTTTCTTTACCCCAAGCAAAAGGAATCTGTCTTCAGGCTGTACTGCCTGGAGTGTGGGGAGGGGTGATACAGGCATTCCCATAGCTGCTGCAGCTGCTGCCGTCATACTGGCTCACACCTCAAGTCCAGGGTCTTCCAGACCTATGCAGCATCAGGGCTTGCCCAAGGACTGCGGTGACTACAGCCTGCCTGCCACTGAATTTTATTTGAAGCCCAAGAAATTTCCAGTGATAAAGCCGGCCAGAACTTTGGTGGGTTCTTCCTGCGGGGGCAGCTGATTCCCTTGTGGCCCAGGGTGGGTCTAAATGCTTTTTTTGTGGGCACCAGCCTGGAATCAAGTGCTGTGGGGTTCTGTCCAGTGTCGTGTGTCACTATGGCAAGACTGGTACTAAGTTTCAATATAAAGTCCCACATTTTCCTCCTTGTCCCCAAGCCATTAGATTCTCTCTCGGAGATGCTTTCCTGTGGCTGGGGGAGAGGTGTCATAGGCAATGCAGGACTGTCCTTCCTCCCTTCTTCAATCATCTTTCCTTGTTATCATGTTAAAAGCAGGTGCTGTGATCTCTCACCTGGTTAGCTCTTGTGAAAGTGTTTTCTTGCATAGACAGTTGTTCAATTTGATGTTCCTTCGGGGAGACCATTGCTAGAGAATTCTATTCTACCATCTTTCTCCACCTTATACCTGTTTTTAGTTTTTACATGTTCTAGTAAATAATTGTGAAGTGATAGCTTTATTTAAATCTTGGGGATCAAAAGCATGTAGCTAAGAACGTTTCCCAAGGAATATTTTAAAATTTTTATATCGTTTATGGAATGACATGCTTTTTGATTCAAGGTTCTTAAATGTCGTTTTAGTTTTGATTCAATGTTATACAACACTGTTTTTTTAAACGGTGATCTGCAGCCCACATGTAATGGAATCACCTGGGGTGCTTATATATAAAAAAAAATGCAGATTCTAGGACTCACACCAACTAAATCTCCTGGGATTGGAGACCAGCAGGTAGCTCATATAATCTCCACAGCTGCTTCTAAGGCACACCAAGTTTAAGAAGCATTCTTTCATATTTTCAGACTGGGGATTCTTACAAAATGACAAAGAAGGAAAACCTTAATCTTTTAAAGTTAGAGTTTGGGCGTTAGACTGTGCACTTCTTCAACACAGTTTGTCTTTCCCATTCTCCCTTTCCAGTTCTTTATACTGTCAAGGGATTGGGGCAGAAATGGGAAACAAAGCAGCGAAAGAAAAACTATTTTTTTAATACACATTTTGCTTTAATAATCACCAAAAACATTTTCATTTTCTGTCACCCACCCTGTCCACCAGTTATGTTGGCCTTCAATATATGGCAATAGCAATGTATATAAATCTATATCATACATTTATACACACAACACATATTCTATCAGCACTGCAAAGACACAGACTAGGCTTTACTATTGCTGGGGGTCTCTCCCATGCCACTTAAAAATGAGCACAGGTTTGCTCTATGCAAGAATTTCGACAGAGTTGGTCTGGCCATCAGTCTCCAATTTCCCTGAGGTAAGATAGGATGACAAAATGGGACAGCATATTTGAAGTGAGGTCAGTCCAATTTGGATACCATAGAAGAAAAGAAATTGGATGTGCTAGGTTAAGCCTGAGATGGTATCTGGGAAGTCACCACATTCATGATGTAAACTCAAAGAACGCAGGTGCTACAGTGCAGACCAAAGCCCAGCCTGACTCGACCCAACAGGGTCAGGTGTGGATCTGTGAGTAGTGCTCACTGAGTGCCTGCCAGCAGTGTCTGGCAGGGCACCGCTGCTCAGTAGTGTGCTTTTAGAACCTGCCAGAGGAGCTCCAGCATTGGGACCACGTGCCCCATTCATCAGAATCAGGGTCCTATATCCACTGAGTTTTCCATCTCAGGACAGCTGATGAGGCAAGAAATGTGCTGTTGCTAGTTCCCAAGCTGCTGGGGCTGTTGAGAAGCAGTACCACGAAACCTTCTATGCAACCTACGCATTCTGCTTAGTGCTGGGCCAGGTGGACCTTGGCTAACAGTATTCCATAGCTCTCAGAAAGGCTTTCTGGCTTTCTCCCAGCTCCACCAGGATACATCTCTGACTCCCTCTTCTGGACCCTCCGGTGGACTTGGAGGAATGAGGCCCAGATGCTCCTCAGCAGATAGGTAGCTGCACAAAAGGGGGACAGGGCCACCTTTCCTGCTGTTTTAAGGACTTCTGGTGGCTGTGCTTCTTGCATGGTGCCTGGAAGGCAAAGGTCACAAGGCTGGAGTACACGGCAGAGCCCTTAGGGATTTCACCTGCAGACAAAAATAAAACAATCCAAATCAGTGTATATTGCCAGGCCCTACTGATGGCTACCTGAAGCTGGAGTGAGAGCTACAGGGTGACCAAAGCCAGGAGCATGGTGACAGCCAGTTAAGAGGATGAGCTAAGAGCATGTGCTGCAGTCTGGAGGAGCAACAGGTGCCCGAGGTTAGGGGGAGCCTCCCCACCTCCCTGTGTGCTGAGATCCCTGCTCCAATTCACTGCACAATGGGTGGCTGGACCCTACCACTGCCTCTTTAGGGGCCAGGTGACTCTCCAAATCACTTTGTCTCAGCAGAAAGAGGCCTTTGCCATGTCCACCCAAGAAAGAAGTGCTTAGCATGAAACATGCACATATAGAAACAGCCTGTTGTAGGAAGAAGAGGACATTTTGTGGGGAAGTTTATGTGTCTGTTAAGTTTATGTGTCTGTTAAGTTTATGTCCAGTCGCCATAATGAGGTTGTAGAGGGACCAAGTCCACAAGGACCTCAAAGCTCAACTAAGTCCAGTTCCATCTTTGACAGATGAGGGTGCAGCAGTCTCACAGAGACTAAGGGACAAGCCGAAGCCACAGGCCAGTTAGTGATAAGCCAGGGATTAGAACCGAGGCCTCGGGTCCTTTCCAGTGATCTATGGGAGGTGGAGGGGAAAGCTTTCACACTGGAGAAAGCCAGTGGATACTAGAGACTTTTGGGTTACCTTTTAGTGGATACTAGAGACTTTCTGGGTTACCTTTTCTGGGACAGGAATAAGGCTTTACAGAGGCAATCCTGTAAGTGTTGCTCTAAAGAGGCTCAGAAAAGAGAAGAATTATCAGAGAAAAACAAAAGGGAGTTAGTGAAAAAATAAAAAAAAGAGCAAGTTAAACTGGCCCAAGCCATTTTCACACTGTGGAGATCAACATTCTCTCAGGTTACAGTTTAGAAACATTTCTAGGAATGTGCTCAATTGCTTATGGTAAAGCTTTGAAGTCCAGGTTTAGTTTCTGATTTTTAAACCATTTCATATACCTCAAGTTTTTCTTCAAAGCACTTCCTAGGGAATGATTAACACTTAGTGTTTTAAGTAAACATAGATAATGTCTGGTACATTTGTAACATGTTTCCCCTGAAGGTTCAGTTGTTATTTACTAACAAATTCTCTTTTAGACAAATGAGACCCAACAGATCTCTTTTGTCATGTTGCTTAAAGTTATAGCAAAATCAAATTGCTGTTCTTAACCCAGGAGTGTGCAGTGAAATCAGTTTACTAGGTTGCAAATTGCTTTTACTTTTTCATGAAGAGTAGAACACAAAACTGGCCTCAAGATCCCTCTACCAAAAGCTCATTCCGAGGCAGAATGTCTAATGACTTCAAGAGTCGACTGAATTGCATTTCTCCAGTCTCCTGACTTGGCATCAAAGAAGAAAAACTGGAGTGAAAAAGAGAGATGATGACAATGTGAGAGTGAACTAAGATACAGGGGCAGGAGCTGACGGGGTGGGAGGGTGATGGGAACAGAAAGTAGCAGGACACTCACTGAGGACCTGTGATGTTGCAAATGGACCCAAAATCTTCTCCTGGAAGGCCAAAGCAGGCCAAGGTCACCTACAAGATCTGCTAATGGATGGTGGTGGGTTGGGGACAGGCTTGGTGCCTCTGATTGGTGCAGTAGTTTCCTTACCTCTAAGTTAGTCTTTGCCTTCTTTAAAACATCACGTGTTCTGGTTATTGAAACAACAAAAGAGCACCACAGAGTAGAAATCACCAGCAGAAATTAACCCTACTTGCTTAGCTGAGAATTCTAAACCATTTATTTCTTTCTGGCCATTCAGCTTGGAGTCTCCTTCTATCCACCCTGTCCTCCCCTCCCTCTTCATCCACAATTGCTCGTGGCACAGAAGGTTTGGGGACATCAAATCAGTCTCCACTCCCAACATCTCCAAACCCCCGGTCACTGCTCCTCTGCAGCACAAGTGGGGCATCGGGAAGACTGCCCGTTTCTTCCCCCATTCCCTCTCAGGGAACCTACGCTGGCTGACGATGAACTGCTCCATGCTCTCCTTCTGCTGGTTCACGGTCTTCAGACGCTCAGCTGTGCTCTGAAGGAGCCGCTCCTGTTTGGATACTTTGGTTCTCAGTTCCAGAAGTTCCCTTTCTGTTGATTCTCCCTGGATAAGGAACAGACTGTTACTGAACAGGCAGAAGGCCTAAAGCACCCTGTGCTTTGTGGCTCTTTCCAATTCCAAGAAGGATTCTACAATCTTCTCCACCCTCCTGAACTGGATTTCCTCCTTCACAGCCTCAGATACCTCCAGCTGAGGACAGTTTAGGATGAGGCCATTAGGTAGGAATATTTAGACTCTGGAATTCCCCATGTAGACTAGCACAGGCCCACACACCTGTAGCTTAAGAGAATGTCGCTTCAGGCTGGAATAAAACTCCCAACTCTGAAGAGGACCTTGCTTTAGTCCTGATATCAGTTCTGTCACTCTCCCTTCACAGGCAAGATTGAGAGTTCAGAAATGATATATTCGGGAGAGAGATCTGGACTCAGGAAAGTTTGCAAGTTTGTAAATATTTGTGCCAATATGGAGATGGCAAAACACCCTCTCCCTGGAATGAGCCTAGCTGGATCCCAAAGGTATTGGTGACATTGATCTGCAGCTAGAATCCCTGGGGAGGGGATCCTGAAACCTGTCTCCTCGAGGGTCTGCCAATCAGAGTTAGCCTGAGCTCTGAGCAGATCCTGAGGGGTGGCTGACTTTCCCCAGGCCTGGTCCAGAGATGCCAGCTGAAGTGATATGCTGGGATTCCAGGCAGTGGCTGAAAAGGCTCAGTCTCATGGGGGCATTCTGTGATCATGTGACCATGGGACCTGAGGGGTGGGAGATGGGTGCTGAAGCTTTAACTGAATTTCAGCTCAGCCAAACTTCAGAGAGGTAAAGAAACTGAACTTTTATGGATTGCCAGGGTTATGATGTCTCCGCCTTTTCCACACCCCTTCCTCTTCTTCTTTGATTTCTTACCAGGGGCCAGGGCGCTGGTGGGGAATGGGATGTATTCAGAGCTGTAATGAAAGCAGCCACCATGGGTCAGAGATGTCCCTCCAGGGACACTCCTCTAAGGTCCTGTCTATCCCAATTCACTATGTGGCTCCTGATTTTCTGTAAAAGCTGTGACAGTGAGGAGACAGAATAGTATTGGAGGGCAGGAAAACTGGGTTCAAACCAAGAAAGGACACTGGCATCTTACCACTTTGCCAGGCAGCACAGGGATGTGGGTGCTTGGCAGGGCCACTCTCCAGAACACGGTGAGGAGGGAAGCCGACTCCTCTAGGGCATGGTGCAGGGCACTGGTGCTGCTCCGAAGCTCACGAATGCCTTTGCTGCCCAGCACCTGGGGAAAGGTAACACCACAGGAGCGGAGAGATTACTTTCTTCCCCCTGCATGGGCTCCCGCTTCCTTTGTGAGTGAGGCACAGAACATGGGCCTGCTTGAACTGGGAAGCCCTCGCACAACCATTTGCAGCTCTCAGAACTAAGGTACTGGTGCCTTTACCAGGTATGCCTCCCTCCACCTGCAGAACCCATAAGGCTTTCAAAACTCACCCCCCTTGCTATGTCCTCTAGGAACCTGTTACCTTCCTTGCCTGAGATAAATGACCACGTTTGCATTGGCGGCCTCACAGCACAGAGGATGACTTCTCATGCTGTGCCTGTAGCCCCTTACTGTGCTGATCTACTTGGGTGTGTGTCTTGCCCTCTAGTGTGGGGTTCTGTGGAGGCAGGGCTGCCCCTACGCATCCATGGGTCTCCAGCAGCTCAGACAGCATAGCCACTGGTGCCTGGTCTCTCTCACTGGCAAGGCGCTCTGAGAAGCTTTGCTGACTGCCTTCCCTCCATCTATGCAGTCTGCACAAGGAAATGCCATGGCTGCCAGGCTTCTCACCCCTTCCACATGTGGGGGCCATACACCTGCAAATCCTTCAGTTTCTGTCCACCCCATTGTGTCAACTCCGCCCACAGATGGTCATGTGCCTGCACGAGTGTGGTAGATAATAAGCTACCAAAGGCTGCTAGGCAATGCCACGTGTTTCTGTGGGGCTGAGGGGAAATATCCAGTCAGCTACATCTGGAACAGAGCAGAACTCACAGTGAAAATAGAGAAGACAGGGCCTGGCTGCTGTACATGGAAGAGGAAGCCTCAGCTGTTGAGAGATGCAAAGCATGAAAAACAAAAAACAAAAAACAAAAATGGTGGGAGACGCAGTTAACATCAAAGGAAGAAAGGGCACAAGGAAACAGTGCATCTAAAGCTACAGGTGTGATTACCTCTGTGCCTTGGGCTTCAAGGCCAGGGAAGCTGCACGCTGACCTCACAAGAGACATTATCTTTTTGACCAGCAGCTTGCCCTCCGCAATCTGCTGTCTCAGGGCACTGTAGTCATCCATGTGGCCAATGACATGGCGGCCATGCTTATTGGCAAAGGAGCCATCAGTAGCGTCACCCTCCAGCTTGGGAGGGCTCTTCATTACTGGAGAAGTATCCAAACCCAAGCCTGAAAAAGAAAATAACAACACAACAGAATCTTCTGTTATTCATAATGATATTGTCAGTTTACTCCAACTCAAAAGAGGTAGGAGACAAGAAAAAGAAGAGGCTGGGAACAAGAAAGGAAGCCTTGGAATATACAAGGGTGGGGCAAAGTCCATGGAGATCTTCTGGCTTCTATACGTCTATAATGTTTCTTACATTATCTCTTGATAAATTTGCCAGGAGACAATTTTTTCCTTATTGGCAAATGAAATAGGACAAATCATCATAAATACACAGACACAGACAAGGAAATCAAGCTGGATACAGAGAGTGTTTTTAAGAATGGAGAGATTATGGTGCAGCAAAAACAGCAGTAGGTAAACTACAGGAGGATGAACAATGGCAAGAAAGGCAGCCACAGAAGGTGCAGTGAGTAGGACTAAAGGCCTCAAGGCATGCAGAGAAAACTCTCTAAATACAGATAATATGTTTAGAGACAACAAAAGATTATTTGCATTAGTCACTTTCCATCATCAGTCCCTGGGCCCTTTCGTTGCCATATTTACCATTTGTTCTGTAGATTATGGCCGTTTCTGAGCCAGGAGTAGAGGAAGCAGAGCTGGGGAGGACCAGAGCTAGGGAATTCATCACAGCATCCCAGACTGGAGGGGACACAGTTGAATCTAGGGGGTAAAGGCAACCACAGTTTTCAGGAACCCTGGAACACCCTGCTCGTGAAGCACATGCACACCTAGCCGTCCCCACTGAGGCCTAAGGTGGCAGGACTCTCCTCCTACAGAATTATCCATACCCCACAAGCAAAAGCAAAAGCCAGTGAGTCACTGAGTTCAGAATGTTTCCATTCTTCAGAACAAAAAGATATTCCTTTGACTGAGGGGTGTTCCATGAGAAAGAAACTTCTAGTTTGAAAAATTATTAGGTGTATTTTAATAAACCGAGTGTTGAGTATAATTTATGTGTGGTATCTAATACGATGCCCTGTAACTAAATGTAATATGTATAAATATACATAGCACATGTTAAAATGTAGAATCAAGGAACCAAGGAATGAATGGATTCATGGGGGACTAAACTCAACATCGTAGTCATCATTGTGATGAGCCAGTACTGAAAAAAATTGACTTGTATGAGAAGAACGGAGACAGAAGGCTTGGTAGGTTAACGTTGTCTTGCTGGAGACTAAAAAGCAACCGTATAGTGGAGGAATTGGATAATATCACAAAGAAGGTAGAAAAGGTCCTGCTCAGGCAAGTGTGGCCCAGTGCCTGCTTTCCAGCTCAGGCCTCGGGGGTGCTGGAGAATGAGGGGCAGTGGGGCTGCCAGTGGGGCTGAGTCTTGGCTGCTGTGTGGGAAGCCAGTGAGAGGGGAAGGCCTGGTTAGAAGGAAGAGTTGGAGACATAACTGAACACCACAACCATCAGGGCAGCCCAGAGGAGGGCAAGGCGTCCACCTAACGTTAGCTGAGAAGTTCCTGGCGGCCAGGCGGTTTGCTTGGCGCCTACGTGTGTTTTTTTTATTGAATTGCCAAAACAGCATAATCATGTTATTGTCACCTTCATTTGACAAATAAGGTTACTGTCAGATAAATGAGCATCTACAAGAACCAGAGAAACATAAAGATTCACATGACCCAGAAATAGTTGGCAGGAGAGTTTGAAAGCTCAGCTTTAGAGAAACTGAACAGAAGTGGCTCCTGATTTGAATGAAATTGAAGGTGTGGCCATGGAGGTGAGTGGAGATGGTGTACTAAATGGTGTATTAAAAGGAAAAAAGGACAGAGGAAGTAGAAATTGAACGATTTAAGAGACTAGGGGGACACCACTGACATTTCTATGAAAACTGGGAGAAGTGAGATTGATGGGGGATGTTGAGAAGAGAAGGGGGACCTGGTCAAACACACCTATCTGAAAAGGCAGGCAAGAGGTGGGGTAGAGAAAGCGAATGATGGCCACTCAAAATAAATCACCCACCATCCAGGACTTCCCCAGAGCCCTGTTTCCTTAGGTACAGGAACATTTTGCCACACACTGAGTTCCCCACCTGTGAGGGAAAGGGAGACTAGAGAATCTGGAAAGGTCGGCAATATGGAGACAGGGCACCATGAGCTGGAAGGAAGACAGACTGCAAATCACAACACCTGGTTCTGATCCTGACTTTGTCTATAACTTCTCTAAACCCTCGCTTGTCTGTTAATATCTCAAGACCTAAGTTTTCTTATGTGAAATACAGAGATAGCAAAACCTGCTTTACTTCAGATGAAATTATATATGTGAAAACACTTGGCTAATACTAAAGCACTAATCAAATCCAAGAAAACGATATGAACATACATAGCTGCTAATTACTGAGCAATTCTTAGTGTGCCAAGCACTTGTAAGTGATTTCATTTAATGCTCAAAATCATATAAGGTATATATTATTATTATCCTCATCTTAAATATGAAGAAACTAAGGCTTAAACCTCTGAGACTTTAAACACCTTGCCCAAATCAAACGACCTCTAAGCTCAGAACCTGGAGCCTGGTCTGACCTAAATTCCATGCTTTCACTCAGGCTGCTAGACTAGAACATCTCTGATTTCAACCTGACCCCAAGGAGCATGGACCAGGCAGATTGTACCTTCTGCCACAGACATCCTGGTGATCTCCCCACTGGCTGAGGGCTTTCTAAGTCCCTTTTCCTTCCTACCTTGGAGGAGCAGCTGCTTGTTTCCAGGGTCAACGCTGGCTGGGAAGTTCTGGTTAACAGAGGAGGGGCTGAGGCTGGCTTTGCCAGCACCGCTATCCAGCTGCTGTTGCAGCTGCAGTCGCAGACAGTTGTTCCCCTGAATGCTCTGCTCCAGCTGCCCTCTCAGAGTTCGGACCTCTGCCACCAGGTGGCTCAGGTCACTGCTCAAAGGGATTTGGTGACAGGCATCCAGGCTGTAAGCTAAGAGAGAAGAGGAGTCTGGTAACATCGACCCAAGTATTTCCGAGCACTTGTCAGAACCCTCCTCTGTGACATTCTTTTCTGCCAAGGATCCCATTATCATCTGAGTCTCATGCAACCCATCTATGATAGAGATGTCACCATTTCTGTGTATGGCCTGGGGATGGCACTGAGATGGCACACATCCAGTCTGAAACTTCCCTGCGGTTTAAGTTACACACATGCACCTATAGAGCATTTGATTGGCAGATGAGGATAAGTCCATATTTCATCTCTATAGTAACCTTAGTCCTGTAGGCTAGAGTACAGAATCCTCCAAGGTAGAAGGCCAGCACTGAGCTAGAGAAGGGTAGGGGAAGAGGGAGAAAGAGATTTGACAGTCTTCACTCTCAGAAATGAAAGAGGAGAAGGAGGAGGCCTTTTGGTAGCGTATGAGAATGTGAGTTGCGCACCTTAGACCAGGGATTATAACTGAGTTTTTCAACTTGTTTCTCTCTCTCTCTATATATATATATATGTGTGTGTGTGTGTGTACATATATATAAAAAACACCTATATACAATGTGTATATATGTTGTGTGTGTATATAATATATAGGTGCATATATGTACATATATATGTACCTGTATACATGTATATATATTTACTTGCATTCACCACATGTAGTTTATGTCTTTGTACTGAGGATGAAGAGATCTAAGAAATATTCTACAAGGCCACAATCCCTTATCTGAAAACCTTAAGGCCAAATGTATTTTGAAAGGTAAAATTTGTTTTAGTTTTTAGCAAGGCAACAGGGTGCATATATCATATATAACATGTATCCAGTTGCATGTGAGCCACAATCCTTAATAAAACATACAACTATCTCTGCAATCAGCTGTGAATATTCTAAGTAGATAAATAAAGACTTATGAATATCCTCTTGTCAGTTCATCTAGATTTTGTCACTAAATGAGTATTTGAAAAATTTAATTTGGAGATCTTACTGAATTTTGAAATTACAGAGAAGAGATTCTGGAGCTTTAGTGGTTGTAGCTTTGAAATGAGTCCTAAAAGGCAGGGAGAAAAGCATGAAAGGAAAGGTAGCTCAGGAGGAAGTAGTTTTAGAGACTTTGGTAAATAATCTACTCTTGAATTTTGCCTAAAGTTTTATGATGTTCGTCTCTCTCTTCCTCAATCCAAGTTCTCACTAAATTTTGCTTATTTTCTAAAGAGATGTTTTAAAATCTATCTATACCCTTTCATTTTCCCAGTAGCACCTTATATTAGACTGTCATCTCTTAATGTGCCAGAATAGCACTACACCCATCCAGTAGGTTTCCCAGATTCTAGTGTCTCCCAACTCCAGGACATCCCCTGAGACTTAGCATCTTAAAGTTCTGTTTTCATCATATGCGTATCTTCTTTGAAAAAGAACAGACTTAATTTAATTATCTCTATACAGAATGTCAACTTCCACCCTGACCGGTGGGCGTTCAAGATTTGGGGACTCTGCTCCTCCATCCTGACTTCTCACGCCCCCAACCCAAAGCTTCTCCTGTGGGCAGGCTGGTCCCACTGACCCAACACTCACCATGACTTTGTACGTAAGCTATTCCCCCAGCCTGGTGAGCCCCCTGTATTTCTTCAAGTTCCAGTTCACCTTCTCTTTAGAAAATCAGGAAACTAAATCAGGATTTATGATAATTCGAATCTAAATTCCACTGCCCTTCACCCTTTGTCTAGCCCTCTGAAGGGACATAAAATACATGAGTTTTTTTCACCCGACAGTTCTTCAAATACCCGAAGCCAGTTCTCATGTCCTCAAGATCTTTTGAAAGTGTAAATTTCTTTAGTTTCTTTGACCAGTTGGAGATTTCTGGTCCACACCATTGTGCACCCTGTCTTCATTATGTTCCCTAGTGTGTCAATGCCCTTTTCAAAGATGGTGCCTCTTAATCTAACAATATTTTAGACATGGCCTCCACAGGTGAACATCACACTTACACTACCATAGTGTCAGTTTGAGCTGGCATTTCTAGGAACCTTTGGCCTCTGCTGTACTTGTGTGAACATGTTTCTACCAAACCCCAAACCCTCAAGTCCATGAACAGCTGCCTGTCCTATATTTCTACCTCTTCCTGTATTTCTACCACTGATATTTGTAATCGAGCTCAGGACTTTGCTTTTTATCTTTGCTAAATTTCATGACATTGATGTCAGTCCTCTGTCCAGCCTGCTGTGACTTATTAATCTTGTGTTTTGAGTACCCTTCTCCATTTAAAGAAGAACCAAGAAATATATCAAAATTCTCAAATATTAGATGATTATTTAAGCAGGCAGCAAAGTCTTCAATAAATGTCCTTAACACTTAAATCCAGGATTGAAATTTAGGTTCTTTTTGGTTTTCGTGTCTTTTAATTTTCTCCTGCGGGCAGGCTGGTCCCCACTGACTCAACACTCACCATGGTTTGTACTTAAGCTATTCGCCCAGCCTGGTAAGCCGCTGTATTTCTTCACATTCCAGTTCACCTTCTCTTTAGAAAATCAGGAAACTAAATCAGGGTTTATGAAAATTAAATGGAAGGGCAATAAGCTGAGAGTCAGATGTCACTAGGGAAAGGGTAATGGTGGGAGCAGACTGCCTGCTACATTGGGCTGAGTGGGTTGTCAGCATGTATTACCGACAATATTAAAGGCCTTTTCAAATTGTGGTATCATTAGGACAGTTCTTTTGCTTTAAAAATGTTACAATCTAGACATTGATAGGAATGTTTTCTTAAAGTAATTAGGAATGATCAGGCTGGGTTTTGCTCATGCCACCAACCTGTCCCTCTAGTCTTTGTGTATGAGAGTTCCTACTGGGAGCCCCAGGCTTGGGTGGGGGTTTCTGAGACAGAACTCTGTAGCTTGATCTCCACAACTCCCAAAGGAAAGACCTAAGACCTCACTAGCATCCAATGCAAGGGTAAAAAGCTCATGGGGTGAGGGGAGAAGAACATACCTTTCAGCCCCTTCTTGGAATTGCCATAAAGTGCCTCGCAGATTTGTAGCTCTGACTGGAGGGACTCAAAGAGCTGCTGTTTCTCTTCACACTGTTGCTGCAGGAGGACCAGCTTGTGCTGCAGTCTGACCAGGGAGAGGCAAAGCCCACTGAGATGGCAGAGCCACTCAGCCACATGAAAGCAATAAGCTGAGAGCCAGATGTCAACTCAGGGGGTCATAAAGATTATGGTTAGGGTTACATCTGAGCCCCAGATGTCAACTCAGGGGGTCATGAAGACCATCACTTTTATTTCACAGATGTGGAAATGGTGGCTGAGGGAGGTCAAGTAACTTTGCTTGAAAACACACCATTACTCACATTAGTTCAGAGCAGAACAGACACACCAGCAGTCTCCTTACTGCTCCTACGGTGCTCTTTGCATTCTGACAAGCAGTTACAGGGCTTTTGCTGGAACCAAGCATCACAGCCAGTATAGAAGCTTCCTAGGTGATGGTGAGACTAATGTCCTATATCTAACTGGAAGCATGGAAACCCTTCTTTTTCATGTCTCTCATATACTGAAGACTTCTACAACAGAGTTTTACTCTCTCAACTTGGGAGTGACAAGGCATTCCCAGAGAAGTCCTTTCTTCTGCTGAAAGCACCCCCTGCCCCAACACACAAAAATCAAGAATAGCAGAGGGAACATTGAGGTTTCCAAAAGAGGACACCAATTGTCTTGCCAATATCCCGTCTTCTAATGTAAGAATGAATGTAAGAATGAAGAATGCTTCCTTCTCTGTCAATGGGTCCCCTCTTACCTGGAGTCGTTTTCCTGGAGGGAAAGACGTTCCTCCCTGAAATGCAAGACCTCTTGCTGCTTCTCCCTCAAGTCTTTCAAAAGCTGCTGCTTTCCATCTTCTCGTGCTCCAGCTCCTTTTCGAGCTCTTGAAGGTGGGACCGAGAGGACAGCAGAGCCTCCCTCAGGCTTTCTGTTTCCTGGGAGTGCTCTGGTGAGAGGAACACAGGAGGATTGATTTATTATGATGGGGCCAGAGCTCAGCAAGAAGATGACCCCAAGCACATCCACCCTCACAGAGTTAAGGAGCAGGGAAGGAAGGTCCTATGTTGGTGGGGAAGAGCATGCTGGCTCAACATCCCCCACAGCCTGGAGAATGTTGCATCTCTCTCTTTGCAAAACCCTTCATTTCACTTATTTAATCTGTCTGGTCTTGCTCTTAGAGAAATTCTGGTTTCTAATGCTCACCATTTTCCAAGTGCTTACACACCATCTGTTCAATAACCTATCCTGATCACTCTTATTCCACAAGATGGCTGAATAGAAAACCAAATCCCAAAGCAGCAAATTTAGGTAAACACAAATATCTATAATACCTATGTAGATAGAATAATCCATAGCATAGTGGGCAAAATGGTGATACATACCTCCAGAGCAACAGCTTTATCATGTATGCACTGGCGAAGTTTCTCAAAAAACATTTCATTTGCTTCAAGGGTTTTTTTTTTTTGTCTGAGTTATCTCGATACTATAGGAACTCCCGAAATTCCTGAGACCAAAACATAGTTTCTTTTATTATTTTATTCAATATTAACCAAATTGCGAAGTAATTTGTTAGTTATTCAGGATGAAAAAACAAGATGTGATCACTCTCCTCAAAAGTAACAAGTTTAGCAGACATAACAGACATATAAATTGTAAACTATTCTGCAACATACAACAGACTCAACACATAGAATTCACTGTTCTGCATCCTACGCTAGCTACCAGGGGAACACAGGATGCACTGCCTAACTCTGCCTGCAGGTGTCAGTAAAGACCTCACAGAGGAGGTAACATTTGCAGTGAGTCTTAATTAAAGGACTAGGATTTCCTAAGAAGGGAGAGGACTGTATGCTAGAGAGAAAAAAAAATGTGCACACTATGCATACAATGAAAAAATTGTACATTCAGTGAAATGTAGTGGATTCAATGTGACTGAAGCTTAGAGTAGGTGGCAGAACAGATCAGTCTCTTCTTAATGCCATTTTCCCCTCAAACTTTCATTCTATCATCAGAATGACTCTGTGGAAGTTTCTGTACGGTTTGTCTTCGTCTATTAAACTGAGAGCAGTAGCCAAATCTTTTGTCTTCCCAACACCCAGAAAAGTGTGTGACTCACAGAGGTGAGTCTATTTTCTGAAGGACTATTTTCTGAATATTAAGTCTTTATAAAAGACTTCATAAAAGATTGCTTAAATCAGGGCTATATGTACTGTTTCTTACACTTGTTAGTAAGCATCTTAATTCACAAATTATATTTTCTATTTATTTTAAATCCTCATGATTCCCACCTCTCAATGTTTTCCATATAGCGGGGACTCAACACAGGTGGAATAATATCTTAAATTTATATAAACAAATTTCAGAGTTCTATGAGCCCAGTTTTCATTGAAATCATGTAAACTCACCTGAAGCAATTGCTCCTTGTGACTCAGACTATGGTTTAGGTGCTGGATGTTTTGTTCCTGGGTTCGAATCTCATTGTATTTTTCAGCCTCCCGGGCACGAAGCTGTTGGCTCTTGTTCTGCAATTCTTCTTGTAGCTGCTGCAAGGCTTTTTGCAATTCCTGAATTAAACATATTACCTTTTCAAAGAGATCTAAAATTATCACGTGGTTATCAGAAATTACAACTAGATTTGTAAAGCACTTAAAAGCCATCACTCCCACTCTCACCAGAAAAAAAGCTGAACAAACTGAACATCAATAACTCTACTTATATGCAACAGAAAGTAGAGGTCCTAAGACATGCCAATCCTATGAAACTTTGAGCCATGGGCAAATACAGAGAATCACAACTTACCTGAATCAGAAACCACCGCTGGAGCCAGCATTGGGTAGACATAATTCAAAGGGAATTGGCTAATTGCTGGAGCTGACAGCAGCCCAGCCTGACAGGTAAAAACTCCTGGGGGCCTAACTAGTGGGAGCCTCCCATATCTTCATGCATTTTGTCTCCAGAAGACTTAGGGTGAGAATTGGAGACAACTCCTTGCATGCTTCTGGAGGGGAAGGAGAGGTAACCGTTGAAAAACATGCCCGGTGCATTCTTTTCTACTTAACAAACACGTGCCCTCAAAAGAAAATTGTGTTTCCAGAGTCTAACCAATGTGGAGAAAGGGAAAAACCCAACTCCAGCGACCTCTGGCCATCCTGTCTCACCTAAGAGGGAACAAAATTTGAGAAGCACTTTTGAAGGTCACAGCCCAGGGGCACAGGCCCACCACAAGACTGAGACCTAATCATAGGATTATAGAACACTTCCCTCCCCTACTCCTTACCATTGTATCAATAGGTCATATACATACATTTACATACACACACACACTATATATATATATATATATAAAAATACACACTACACACACACACACACACACACATATATAGAGAGAGAGAGTGAGAGATTTATTACATTTGATCCTCCATATCTGTGGGTTCTGCATCCATGGATTCAACCAGGCCTGACTCCAAAATATTTTTTCAAAACTTATGATTGTGTCTGTACTGTATATATATGGACTTTTTTCTTTGTCATTATTCCCTAAACAATACCACATAACCACTATTTATATAGCATACGGGAGGATGTGAGTAGGTTATCTGCAAATTCTACATCATTTTGTATAAGGAATTAGAACATCCGTGGATTTTGTTATCTGCAGGGGGTCCTGGCACCGATCACCCAGTGATGTTGAGAAATGACCACACAGGAAATTGGTTCATGTTATTATGGAGGCTGGGAAGTTTGAAATCTGCAGTGTGGCCTGACAGGTTGGAGGCTCAGAAGAACTGATGGTACAGATGTATTCCAAAGGTCATCTGTCAGGGAATTTGCTCTTATTCCCTCTTGCTTGAAGACGCTGGTCTTTTTGTTCTAGTCGGGCCTCCTACTGACGGAATGAGGTTCACTCACATCATGAAAAGCAATCTGCTTTTCCCAAATTCACCAATTTAAGTATTAGTCTCATCCAAAAACATTCTCCATGTTGACACATAAAACTAACTCTCATGGGAAGAAAAGAAGTATTTTTCCAAAATTAATAAGAGATTCCAAGCCATAGATCCAAGAAGTTCAGAGAACACCCAGCAGGGTAAATACTAAAAACTGTACACCTAGGCATGCAAATCCTAGTAAACATTCTCTAGAGAAACAGAACCAACAGAAGATAGATAGAAATAAAGATGGAGAGAGAGAGAGAGAGGAGAGAGAGGGAGAGAGAGAAAGAGATTGAGATTGATTTTAAGGAATTGGCTCACATAATTGTGGATGCTTGGTGAGATCAAATCTGATGAGATAGACAAGCAGGCTGGAGACTTAGGGGAGAGAGTTGCAGTTCAAGTCTAAAGGGAATCTGCTGGCAGAATTCCTCCTTGTTAGGGGGAGGTCAGGTTTTATACTATTAAGGCCTTCACCTGACTAGATGAGGCCAACTCACACTATGGAGGGTCATCTGCTTTACTCAAAGTTTGCTAATTTCAATGTCTCATTTCATCAAAAAACACCTTCACAGAAACATCAGAATAATATTTGACCAAATATCTGGGCACCATGGCCCAGCCAAATTTACACATATAATTAAGCATCACAACATATAATATAGAAAATGTAGAAAATCAAAGACCAAAGAACATCTTGAGAGAAGCTAGAGAAAGAAAACACCTTACCTTAGAAAACAAGGATGAGGATTACATTAGACTACTCTTCATAAACCATGCAAGCAAGAACAGCATGCAGCTGACATATTTAGTGTTGGAGAAAAATAGTCCTGCTAACCTAGAATTCTGTAGAATTATCCTTCAAACGTGAAGGAGAAATAAAGACTCTCTGACAAACAAAAATTGAGGGAATTTGTCACCAGTGATTTTGTCTTCTGTGAGAGGTTAAAAGAAGTTCTTCAGAAAGAAGAAAAACTACAAAGGTCAGAGACAAATCTACACCAAAGAAAGAAGTTAGAGAAGAAATAAATGAAGATAAAATAAAATGTTTTATTATTTTTATTCTTAATTCATATAGTCGTCTGTCAAAATAAGAAAAATAGCAATAATAGATTGGATGATTATACATTATGAATACATCAAATGAATAATAGCAATGTTTTAAAGGGTGGTAGGAAAGGAATAAGGAATTTTGTTTTTAAGTTACCTGCGTGACCCATGAAGCATCATAGCATTACTTATACATTGACTTAGATTAGTTGTAAATATATATGGCAAGCAATAGGGTGAAAACAAAAACACTTTTTTTTTCAATGAATGAAATTCATATTTTAAGAAGAAGAAAAAAATGGGATCATATAACATGTTCAATTATAGCCAGAGAAGGTAGAAAAAGAGTAAAAGACACAAAAGAAAACAATGAAGAAAGTCAAAGAATACAAACAGTTACACATACAGTACATATTAATCCAGTGATATCAATAGTCACTTTAAATGTGAATGGTCCAAATATACCAATTGAAAGGGACTGGAAGAATGGAAAATGAGTCCCAACTATATGTTTTCTACAACAAACCTCCTTTAAATAAGAAGACACAGAGATAGTCAAAGTGAAGAGATGGAGAAAGATATACCATACTCATCGTAATCAAAAGAAAACTGGAGAAGCAGCCGAACACCGTGGCTCATGCCTGTAATCTCCGCACTTTGGGAGGCCGAGGCAGGTGGATCACTTGAGGTCAGGAGTTCAAGACCAGCCTGGCCAATATGGGGAAACCCCGACTCTACTAAAGACACAAAATTAGCCGACCGTGGTGGTGCATGCCTTTAATCCCAGCTACTTGGGAGCCTGAGGCAGGAGGATCGCTTGAACCTGGAAGATAGACGTTGCAGTGAGCCGAGGTTGTGCCATTGCACTCCAGCCTGGGGAACAAGAGCAAAATTCAGTCTCAAAAATGAAAACTAGATAAGCTATATTAATTTGAGACAGAGCCTACTTCAGAGGGAG